AAAATGTCCTTGCTCTTGTAAATAACTTTCCCTTATTAATTTAACACAGTAGGAGCCGCCCTCTCCTGCTGTTTTCTCTTCAGAAAAAATATATGAATAGCACCATCCTAAGCTGAACAAGATTAATCAACAAGATGATGGTCACCAAAGAATTAATAGACCAGTTTGAGAAGAGAACTTCAACATGAATATACAAATGCAACTAAATGGCTAATTTAAAGAACACACAATGCGTACCCAGTGCGATTAGTTTACTTGTTGCCACACAGTCAGAAATTATAAGGCATAAAAACAGAAGCAGAACTTACCTGGTCTATGCAAGCAGGGAACAAATCCAAATTTGTCTGCAAAATATTCTTCAACGCAGTTTTTGCTAAGAGAACTCGAAACTGACTAGCCTTTTGCTTGTCCTTCCCACCAAAGCGTCCTCCATCGGTATGCTTCGAGTATGATGGTGTTCGAGGATCTACTGGTGAATGCCCAAAAGGTGCTCTCAGAGCTGGTTCCCTGAACAAACTATTGATCCACAATATTACACGACCTGACATCTTTCTAGCATTATCATCAAAACAAGGACCATAAAGCAAAGAAGCAATAGCATGCATGGAAGCCCAATTGATGGCTTCCAACTGCTCAGCCATTTCCCTGTCAAATGCAAGCTTGTCGAGTGATTCCCTTGACCTATTATGTTGAGTGGCTTTATATCGCTCAAGTTCACGGCGATAATCAGTGCCGCCTTCCTGCCCCCATGAGCTGCCAGATTCATCACTCCAGTTAAGGAGAAGATCGAAAAGTTTCTTACGTATTCTGTTGTCAAACCTCTCAGACCTTGCATCAACAAACTCAGGAGCTAGATATCTTATGACAGATGCTAATGCATATCGGAGAGGCTGTACATCCTGAAAGCCATCAGATGATGACATGTTGATTTGGCGGTATGTTTCTTCAATAAACTTTAGAAAATGTAAACGGAGAACAGGCTTCCGAATAAGCATCCCAGGCCAAATCTTTTCAGCTATCATTCGATGTATGTTTGCAACATGAGTGCGCAGATCCTCACGGCGGGACCTAGGATTCTGCAGAGGCAAACACATAAGAAAATAACTACAGTAAGAGAGCATACATTATTATGACTATTTTAAATGTTGATGTGCTTGCTCTTGCATACAGACTAATGCAAAAAAATAGAAATACAAATGATATGTGCATTTTACTATATTTTAACTAATAAGTTAGAATATTGGGCATGGAATATGGCCAAAGAGAAACGAAAGAACTTATTAAGCTACATAGCTATGTAAAGTCAACTGAATCAAATAAGATATGTCATCAGAGAAGCAAAGGTCAAGTTTCAGTGAAACAGCAAGGTCTACCAAATATTTGACCTCTTGAGTGAAGATGTTTAAGGAATAAAGAGGCAGTGACTTTGATGAATCCAACAATTTAACCACTATATTGATATTGGAAGAAGGTAAAGCCGATGTACCTTCCATTTTGATTTTCCTTCAGTTTCTGATGAAACATCCTCAAGAAAAAATGCAAGTTCACCAAACATGATTTCACATACTTCTAGATGTGAGTGCCCAAGTGCAGCCGTAGCAGCAAGCTGCAGAAACAAAAATAAACCAAAAGGATAAATTAATTCATGTACTGATGCCATAATCAACTAATCATGTACTATGTTGAAATGCTTGACTGAGATTCAATATACAGCAAAATGGCATTAATACTTTAATCCATAGTCTGTTAGCTCATAATTGTCCCGCAAATGTCATTATAGTGCAAAACTAGAGTAATATGCAAGGTGGAGTTTGAACGCTTGGAAAAATAATCATCTTACTGCATATCCTTCTGAACCATGGCGCAGCGATGGGAAAATTGTATGGAAGATGTCTCTCGCTGCTTTGGGGACAAATTCTTTGTTATCAGGTGGGCAAGAGCATGCAAATGTTGCATATATCAACCACTGGTCAAGCTTGGCCTCAGAATCTTGTAATTGCTGAGACTTTCCACCTAGCTCGGAGGGAGTGATTTGATCAAGTCTCCTAACAACTTCTAATCTGTTGAGTCGTGAAAGAAAGTCAATAAGATGCCCAGCCAAATTGTCAAATCAATGCAGAAATCTGAGTTGTTTAAGATCTAGGATGAAGAGAAAAAGGAAAGAAAGAAGCAAGGTCACATTGATCATTGCTCTTGGTGGTGACAGAAACTGACATTGATCCTTGACCTTGATAGGGGCAGAAAACTGACAATGGTCTACGAAGTAAGAGAAAACCCTGACATCTCATCAATTCTTCACATGCCCGCACCATAATAACATAACATACTTCAACACTCAACCATCTTAGTGGAAACTTATATAAAAGCTAATCGATATTTCAAACGACTCAAGCTCTAAGCATTACACGATCACATAAGAACACTAGTTCTGATATTACCAAACTGTACAATGCATCTTCAGTATTGGTTTCTCACTTGACCATCAAATTCAATAAAATGACGTATTAAATTTTTGCACTGTATAGTATATTTGTTTTTATAAGCTATTTAAAGAAATATAAACTCCTCTGCAAGCCGGCTCCTATGCTAGTTTGAATAAACAAATTCAGTAAATAAAACAAATTCAGTATTGGGTGTCTCAAGCTCTCAGCTAGTCAACTCTTCATCTAAGGAGGTTTTAACACAACTGGTCAAACTTCCCATCTAAGGAGGTGAGCTTCTACTCCAAATTTCTTGCGAACAGAATTCAGAAAGAAAAGAAGCCCTACTGTAGTGTTTCCATAGTGCAAAGAAGCCTCTGCATAATCGAACACACAACAGAAAACCGACATGGGGAAAAAAAAGATCAACTAGCATATTAACAAACTAAACCATATATACAACAACTCTAAGGCGCAAGCACACAAGATTACGAGGGACTGCAACCATGTGGTGTGGAATAGGGTATCGACTTGTAATTATTCTCTCTGGATGAACGATATAGTGGATAACATGATCACACTTTTCTTAAAAAATATGCACAAAAAAATCCAAAAGAAGACCGGAGTTCTTGCCTTGCAACATGCACAGAGGCAGGACAAAGTTCAGCCGCATATTTCACAATTTCACTCAGGTAGCGGGCCCATCTACTTTTATCAGCACTCTCCAAGATGGATTGAAGTGTCACATCAGAAGGGATGGGATCCATCTCACGTCTAAGATCATAAGGTCGCCCTGGATCCCAATAACAGCTCTGAACAATGTCTTCCTGCAAAATTATAAATATTTACTTATGTGGTCAAGCATGAAAAGGTTCAATGATAAATTTCAAGGCTCTGTTCGGAATGTGCGGGTGTAGGAAACCGCAAGAATATTAGAGGAAAGAAACATTGCAACTAAATATTTTACTTCCAATTAAAAATGTTGCATCTCAGATAAGTCTTCTGACAGCTCAAAGAAACTTAAATCCAACAAGCAATGATATAAGGAACTCACCCCATTTTCCTCTATGATGTCAATGATAAATATTGGTTCTGGTTCAAGTCTCAGTTTAGTGTCGCCTTCATTTGCTGAGTAATCTCTCAGATCATTCTTTAGAGATCGAACACATCGCAATAACTCCAGAGCTGTAAGCCGTATTTGAACATCAGCAGAGCTGAGAAAGACAAGACCAACCGCATCCATTTCCGAGGCACGGAATTCAGATATATCTTTGGACCTATGAAAAGGAGATGATTTCTGTAGCATATCGCCTCCAAGACTAGAACGTCTAAAACTTTGCATATCTTTTGCCAGAAGTTCCTCAGAGAGGCAAGCTCTCCACAACCGCATAAGCTCTACTAGGCGTCCCAGTGAATTGAGAATCAAAATAGGGAACTCATCGGGGAGTTTCAGGATAAAAGTAGCCATTCCTTTCAGCACAGCAAACCGACGATCAGGTAGAAATCGTACGATCCTGTTCAAAACTAGCACGGCTTCTTCACGGACAACAGGGTCAATACTCGTTACATGTTGAGGTATAATCTCAGTCATTCTATCATTACGCCCCACCTCTTCTATCAAGTATGGTATACATTTAAGCACAGATCTGAAGAGTGATCCCTGAGATTTATCCTTTGTTACGTTATCTGAAAATATGATACTAGAAATCAGGGGTAAATACAGCAAATGGATTAAAGTATTTGCTGCTCTCTTTCACAATTTTCATTATCAGTATGGTCCAAAATAAATACATAGAAACAATAGCACTTTGCGGTATTTTGAACATTTGCTACATATGATGAATTGATGATAAGTAGCAACATACCAATTGTAGATTTCGATGATGTAAGAAGGGCTAGGCTATAAGCCTTGCTACAAGACCTTAATATTGACTCGATGGCTGACTTGACTTTTGGAACATAGTGGCCAATACCATACACTGAAAATACAGAGTAAATATACTGCTTACCATATTGTCACAAAATAATTAAGTTCTAAAAGCTGATACGGCTGCCAAAACCATGTTACCTTGGAAAACATCCAGGCCAATTTGTTGATTTGATGGAGAAACAACAATCTCAAGCAAAGCCCTAAGGCCAACAACCTTTGCTTCACTAAGACTATCTGGTTTCAACAGTTCAAGTATCATATGGTTCATTGCAAAATCCAGGTTGCTCTCAGCCAAGGTCACACAAAACTCAACAAGTTTATCATGCTGGACATCTTGAGTCAGTAACCCTTTCTTCAACACGGTCAGCAATTGAGAGGTCACACTGTCTAAATAGTCCCAAACTTGATTTCTGGGCTGATAATCTGCATAAACGTTTACATAAAATTTTACCAGCCGGTGTAGACAATCTAGTGCCATTGATCGATGATTCTTATCCTGTGCAATAAACAGCCAATCAGATGTATGCTTCATGCAGCACAAAGGAAGAATACAAGTTTCATAAATCAGAATGTCTATTATAAAGAAAAAGAACAATACAAAATATTGATCAGTAAGACAGTATGAGATCATAATCTTGTTCTCATAATGTGTAGACATAAATTACCTTAAGATACTTATACAGGATCTCCAAATGCTGAGAGAAGTTAATGTTGAACGTCTGGGAATCACCAAGGCAAAGAAAAAGAGTGACCAGTGGAAATCCAACCTGCAAAGAAGATTCAGCATCAAATATAAATAGGAAAATATGTGGTGCAACAACAAGTCAGAAACTAGCATGTCACGAAAATAATGAGTGAGGAGTTTATTGCCGTAATTTAGGGATGCAAATTTGGAACCTACAGGGTACCCTTCGGCCCTTCTTAGTTCAACCAAATGAACTAACTTCAAAAGGTGAGGTGAATTCTGAAGGTTTAGTTGATTTAGTTGAACTAAGGAGGGTCGGAGGTACCCTGGAGGTTCCAAATTTGCATCCCTACCGTAATTCATCCACAACAGTTAAAACTTAATCCACACATAACCAAAAAAACACAATTCATTAAATTTACAGAACAGTTTCTAAAAATCTCAGTCCTGTGTCATTAAATCCTCATGCCAGCAAGCAAATAAACATGTAAAAACATTTGAATAAACTGAGTGGTTTGATTGATTAAGGAGTAAAATAAAGAGTTTAGGACCTTTTATGGAATCTAATATTTCTTCCAATTGAGAAGGTGGTGATCGCTATCTAAGATAAAAACAGGAAAAAAAACTTGTGGAAACTGGAAAGTAGGAAGTGTAAAGACAATGTTCATAATAAGAAAGTTGCCACTTTCTGGGCATAAAATAAGAAACTGAAGGTAGGTCAAATTTGCGAGGTATCAAAGTAACCAACAGCAAGAAGATTAAGAAATGAAATCAACACATACAATTTTTTGTACAAATATGGAAGTTCAACTGTTCAAGTATAAAAATAAAATGTCAACAACTTACAGCAATATGCTTGCTCTGCTTATCCATCCAATACATGAGCTGCCCTCTTATTCGAGTAACAGCATCATACCAAAGTGACAATGCAGGTTCCACACCTAGTGGAGGCCAATGATTTTTGCCTCCCTCGGCAAGTGGGGCCAGTATACTTGAGAGCATGTTGCACAAAGCATGTTGCAGTTCACTCTTTCTCTTGTTTGGAGGTCGATTTAGAGGATTTGCTTTTGCGATGAAGGATACCGAAGCATTCAGCCCACCCTCCGTCTTCACCTGGACAAATAAATTAAGGGAACATACATAAGCCATCATAAATTTTATGATATAGATGCACCATACATGCCAGAACAAAATGGAGGCATTCCATGAAGCCTTGTTATCCAACAGAAAAGTCAAGAGGATGAACGAATGGAGTATAGATCCTTCTTGTGTAAGTGAATATGCTTTTATTTGGAAACAAAATTGTGCAGAACGAAGGGGCCTCCTGGATTATGGTGGGGGGAGGGGGGAGGGTCGGAAGTCAGTGTGTACATGTAGAACAGTAGAAACGTACATGATTCAGATGCATCTAGGGATTGCTCATGTTACGGTTTGGTTAGTGGAATTGGAGCACAGCAGGATACTAGGGAATTGAATTCTTAGGAAGTTCCTGTATTTTTTTTTCAATAAATGAAATGGGTACAACATGTTTCTATATGTGATGCCAGAATATATCACATTGGCCATGTCATGCACTTTGAATCCTTATGAACTGGAACAAATATTGAAATAATTAAGTAGTCTTTGTATAATCGTACCCCCAGTTTGAGGTAGCGCATCCCATTAATAATGTTGAGTGTCTCACTTCTAGCAACAGGAGTATCAACACGGCGATTATTAAGCTCAATAAAAAACCTCTCGGTCACAGAACTAAACCTGCATGAATAATCAGTTTTCTCAGTAACTTAAGACAGATGTTCCCCTGATCCATGGCAGTAGGACACATTAAGAAACGTACCTGATACGTGATAAAGCTCCTAAAAGTTGAGCAACATGATCTAAAAGGAGACCTCGCAGATCAACCAATGAAGGATAGTCTACTTGGCTAACAACCCTGGAGAAGGCAAATAAGGTAGGGAGGGGCTCAGCATCCACAAGTACATAAGTTTCCTTCTCTCTTCTTTTAGGGTAATAAGTTTCCTTTTTATGGCACATGTAAAACAAATTGAGGAACTTGGCACATGTAAACAAAATAAGACAGCATATAGGCGTTGCATACATATAAGTATTATTTATGTGCTGTTCCAATGCTCAAACAATCAGCCGAGTAGCCTATTAACTGGCTGATTAACAGCTGATTGGACGGTCACCAAGTCGAATTCAGCATATTCAATGCATTTTGTTAATTTTTAAAAAGGGAAAGTTTTTGCTCATTTGCTAAGAATTGGATGTTCAATGTACAGCATTCTGCTTTAAGATTGCACAAGCTGGTATTGACATGATCTTACCATACAAGTCACTGCATTCAAGAAGGCAGTAAATTCTCACCTGTCTGCATTAATTAGCCAATCGAATACGAAACTTTCCAAGCCATTCCAAAGTTTCTCTGGGCAAAATAATGCATAAGTTAGCCAACTATGTTTAAAATAATTAACTACGCAAAGACCTCACACAAACAAAGCAAAAAGAGATAACCTGTGATTCCCTCCTGTGGGCAATACTCAGCAAATCGAATGCAGGCTGAGCTGAATATGCACTCGACAGCAAGCTGGGTAAAGGAAGGGGAAATCCATGAATATTTTAGACAGAGGAATGCATTTTAAAATGTTTAGGGAAAGACCAAGTTTGACAGATCAAGGATGAAAAAGTTTGCTAGTGACAATCTCTAATTATAAGATAATCTACGGAATGCATATCTGGTGATGTTCATTGAGCATACAACCTACAGTGGAAGAGAATATGGTTCTTTGTAAGGAAAACAGATGGTCGGTTGATAACAGACCTTCTTTTGGTATGTTGAGGCATCATGGGCACCTTTTGGTGATTCACTGCAGAATAATGGTGTATAAAACTTCAGTAAAAAGTACAAGACTGCAGAGTTTCTAGAGTAGGAGTAAGCAACAAAGCTGAAAGCTCGGCGTAAAATAAATCGAAATCTTAAAGACTACCAGGTTGGAATTTTTTGAAGAGTTACAACAATGTCAATCAGCGTACCTTTCTCTCCACCGAAGAAGAGCTTCGAGAAGAGGTAGAGGTGTGTGCCTTGCAACCATGGCAAGTGAATCAAGTACTTGCTCGTAGCTTGGGTCAGATGGCCGTAGGTATTGTCCATCCTGCTTATTTAGAAAGAAAGAAAAAATAGTGCTGCATTATAGCATTTTCTCTGCAAACATAACACGTGGCATCATGCTGGTCTGGATGGTAAAGAAAGAAATGCCTAATGTTTCAACAGCGGAATGTGCAAATATAGTAGCTCTTCTATGCTTTCCAAAAGAGCGAAAGGCAGAAATTCCTAAAGCACAGCTGTGAATTGGGCAGTGCGGTGAAATGCACATTGCAACAGACCCCAGTAATGATAACTACACAGTTACAAGAAACCGGCACCCCGAAAGAAACAACGGCACGCCCATGACAAACCGAATAATCAATGCTCTCCGATAACAGCATACAAAACCCAACTTTTTTTTGGAAACGTGCAAGCGGGTAAATCGGATGCACCGCAACGGGCCGAGAGGCGATACCTCTGGAGCATTGATCAGACCTTTGTGACCCAGCTGATACCGAGCAGCGGGCAGGAAGCGCACATAGGTTAGGTCATGAGCTACAAACTCAACGGCGGCACAACGAACTGAGTAATCAATGCTCTCCATACCAGCACACACGAACAGCGCCGCAGACGCACGGTACCGGTGATAGCGAGAGCGTCACGCGGCGAGCAGGAGCGACTAAAACCCCAGCATTTCTAGGCGCGCATGCCGCGGCGGCGCATCGGGGCCTAGAGGCGAAGCTTCGGAGCATTGGTCAGACCTCGGCAAACCTAATCGACACCGAGCATTTCCGGCGTGTGGGCAGGGGGCGCATACATACACAGGTTGGATAGGTTAGGTCAGGAGCTAAATCTAAATAAATAAATAAATTCAACGGCGCCGGCCTCCTGCCGTGGCGACGCCGGCAGGCCAGGCGACCCACAGCCCAATCGAACTAATCAAGCGAGCGAACCCTGTGCGGCGGCGGGGGTGGTGGCGCGGCTCTCGTTGACCTCGCGCGCGTACGGGGACGGGCGGAACCGGGGAACGCGGGAGGGGAAGGGGGACGGGCGGGGGGGAAGGTCACCTGGGCCTGGGCGGTCTCGATGCGGCGGCGGGCGAGCGGGAGGAAGCGGGCGAGGAGGGAGTCGACGATCTGCCGGGCGGCGCCGCCCGCGCCGGCGTCGTGCGGGGAGGTGGAGGAGGAGGAGGAGAAGGCCCCCGCGGCGTGCGGCGTGGGGGGCAGCGGCGGCGGGTAGGAGACCCCCGCCGCCGCGAGCGCGGCGGCGGCGGCGAGGTGGTGGGAGGTGCGCGGGGTCGCCAGCTCGCCGGCCCGCCCGCCGAGATCGCGTCGGAGGCGCCGCGTCCGTCCGTCCCCTTCCCCTCTCCTCTCCTCTCCGTGCTCCACTGCCCGTCTGTCAGAGTGTGTGACCGGTGACCCTCCTCCCTAATCTCGATCGATTGGTTAATGTCAAGGGTAATAACACTCCACTCACTTAAACCCACATATTACTCCTATGTGTTGTAACTGTTGTTGTTGATGTTCTACTACATACATGAATGAATCACCTTGCCATTTACATCAAGCAAGTGTTAATCATCATCACTGTGTATTGATTGATTGCTTTCCTTTCTCGAAACAAAAAAACGCGCATTTCCGTCTGGATCATGCTTGGGATGAACTGGATTATTACATAGGCACGGGTTCTAATGACTTGCCCCCTTTCTAAAATCTTTTCAAAAGAAAAAGAATGATTCAGATGAATACTAATCTTAATTAGGTAACTCTGGTACTGAAAAAGGAGAGCACGACGACAGACCAACAACAAGGTTGCCGGCACGTAGCGCAAGGCATACGCTTTTCTCTGGCGAAAAAGGCGACGTTCCCCGCCGGTTCCTCGAGAAAAATGATGTTGAATACCTGACTTGTAGAGACAACCGTGAGCATGAGCTTGAAGACTAAGAGTTGCTGGCAGCAAGGCGGACGCCGGGCGTGTCTGGAGGTCACCGAGGTGTAGCTTTGGGGAGCGGGGAAGGGCGGGCTCGTTGGCACTCGTGCAGGTCCAGATTGATGGCGGCGGCAACACTCCGGCGCCTGGTGTAAAGCGAAGGGTAGAACAGGAGATTGAGAGACGGAAACACGATCTTTTGTGGATGGTGAGATCGTGGGCTTGATCGCCGGGTACGGATTGGAAAGGGAACAACTTGCAAGAGTTGAGGCGGATGCGGGGTGAGGTGAGGCGAGGGAACATGGATGGAAGGTATGCCACCGCGTAAATCGATTCGATGACAGCCAATCACATTGCAAACTTAATGAGAAATAAGTAAAGGCAAATGAAGGTGTAATGTGACCTAGCCACACAATGGACAGGGGTGGTCCGTGGACTACTATGGGGTTCAGCCAATCACTTCAATATTTGCAAATAAAATATTGAAAATCATCTACCTCTCAATGGCCTAAGACCATGAATTAATGACCTTCCAACACGGTTGGTTCGTTTCCTCTCTATATCCTTGTAAGCGTACATCATTTCATTGGCCATGATGTCTCCCGCTTCATACATACATCTCCCCGATCGTTTTATCCTCCTGAATGTTTAGTGAAGCAAGAAAGCAATGGATGACTGAGCGGCAATGGCGAAGCGTGCAAGGCGCATACATTGAGGCGAGATGCAAGAGCACCACTGCCTTGTCATCTCATCCAATTCATGATTTCTCATCTTTTTTAGTTCTAAGTATAAATTTACTTCTGCAAAAATTTAAATAAGTTTAACTGAGAGTTTAAACTTTAAATTTTAAACCGAGAATTGATAAATTAAACTGGTTGGTTATTAGAGATTTGTTTCAAGCGACAAATAATATTTATTTATTTTATTGTATAATTATTGCAAAATAAAGAGAACCAATGCATTGCATCACTTTTTCTCAAATATGCCTCATTTGGTTTACAAAATATTTGTAGCAATTCGAAAGGATAATCTTGTAGGGAAAATTCATTTGAAACCCTTTGGTTTGCTGGAATAGCATCTTATTCATGAATAGGATAGCATCTTATTCCTGAATAGGATAGGATCCAAAAGAAAATTTTAGCCTAGTCTCAATGGGAAAAAGCTCCTATATGAACCAAATGACATGTCTTTTTCCATAGGATTTATGATACATGTCATCTCATTTTTTATGTTTTTTTATTTCCATGATATTCATATCCTATGAACCAAATGAGGCCTTAAAATGCTTTCACAAAAAATATTGTTCTTGTCGTTTGATAAATTATATGCTAGTATGTTGGCAAGTTATATTGTTAATATACTTTTTTTATGTCCATTGGGTCACCCTGAACCCAAATCCTGCTATATATGCCACTCAACGCACGTAATAATTCTTGAAGATGTGCATTGAAGTGTAGACACCACTATACTATATGAGTTAGCTGGCCATGGGTTCGGTCTATCAAGCAATGACAAGAGAATCAATTTAGCCAGGACATCCAAGAGCCGCGGGATGATATCTTGCACTTGTAGTTCTTTATAACGCATGTTTTTTGTAGCTTTGTGTTCCTTTGAGTTTGGTCAAGGTTGTAGGCACTTGTACTGATATTTTGATTGTCGGATCCATGAATATGTGCATTTTCTACCGCATTGGCCTATCGCGGCAACACGAGTAGGTCAGGTGGCCCCCATCAAATCAGACTAATCAAGCGACCCATGCGCGATGAGGTTGTCGTTGACCTCGCACACAAATGTGATCGGCCAGATCTGGAAAGCGAGATGCAAAGGGAGCGGCCAGATCTGGAAAATGCGTCCAGACCTGGAAAGCGAGAGACAAAGGGAGCGACCAGATCTCGAAAGCGAGGTCAGATCTGGAAAGCGCGGCCAGACCTGAAAAGCGAGAGACAAAAGGAGCGGCCAGATCTGGAAAGCGCGACAAGATCTGGAAAGTGAGAGACAAAGGGAGGGACATTAGGGGGGTACCTGGGCCTGGGCGATTTCGATGCGGCGGCGGGTGAGCGAGAGGAAGCGGACGAGGAGGGAGTCGACGATCTGCCTTGCGGCGCCGTCGCGCGGGGAGGAGGAGTCTGGCATGTCTAGAGTGAAGGGGATCTGGGGCCAGCAGGGGACCCCCGTCGTCGCATCAGCGAGGTGGTCGAAGGAGTGCGGGGTCGCCATCTCGCTCGCCCGCCGAGATCACGGCAGAGGCGCCGCGTCGCGTCGACCCCTCCCTCCCCTCCGGTCCCCCCTCCTCTTCGTGCTCCACCGTCTGTCAGATCCGAGTTTGTGAGACTCTGTGCCTCTGCCTCGTTTGGTCAATCTTAAAACACTCCACTCACTAAAACCACACACTCCACACCCCTCCCCCCTTTATGACTCGATCCCTCCCACATTGTATTTTTGCACCCACCCCCTTGGGTTCACCTTTTTGTTTCTTAACTCAATGGGTTAACATACCAAATCAAATCAGAAATTACGACTTCTCAAAAATCAAACTTACCAATATCTCAATAAATCAAATATTTTCTTCCTTTCCACCCCCACGCATCCCCTGCCTTCCCCATCATATGGCCACGAGAGCACGTGTGGCACCAGCCTAAGTAATCTAGATCACCGTTGGGAGAGACCCGTCCTCCAAGTCATCGTCGGTTCTTCCGCCAGGAGCGGCGTCGCCGTCCTCTTGGCGCGCATGCTATGCAGGAGGCATTAAGGTGTGCGGGCATCTGAGGTGCACCCCCACTGTCGCGGGGATGACGCCGCATCGGCAACGCCTTCACAGGGATTGCCGGCGGCATGCAAGCCGCGTCAGTTGCCATGGCCACTGCAATAATTTCCTCTTCTCTCCTAGAACAATCTCTATCCACGATAATGGGCTCGTGGATCCTAGATCTTTGCCGCAAGTGTAGCCTCTGCATCGAGCTTGCAGGAATCGAGCATCCGCCTCCTCCGATCATTGTTCGCTTCCACTCGCTGGATACCTATGAGTTGTGCAAGAACTTTTTGTGGTTGCCACCACGTGTGTACTGCAACAAGATCTACCAGGTATCTCCATCCTCCCCATTTTTCACCACTACCACCCTCCATCATACTATGAGGATACCTTCTTACTTCAGTAACTAGGCACGTCAATACCATAACCAAAATTTAGGTTCGCTTTTGCATTCTCGGTTCAAGTGAATGGCCCAACGAACTGATCTTCACATTTAGAGGACATGGTTTGTCTCTTTGTGACGTGTCATGTGACCCTATATGTTTCTAACATTTTTCTTTCCACATAAGCCGCAACCTGACAATCGGATACATGAAGAAATGAATGGCCCTATATGAGATAGTTATTTCCTTTGTTGGTGAGACTGTTGGCTTGATAAAGGAAATAATCTGGCATGCATCATAGAACCAGATGAATGCCATAATGCTCCAGTGGCATCTTTGAGTGCAATAATCGTCCAGCCTCAACGGGGTTCACGGTTAGGTAACTATTGATTAGTATAAGTCCCTTGTTATCCATGGAGCAATTGGCTTGGTGGTTTTGGAGCAAGTAGCAGCTCATTGCAACTGTCTCATGTAGTCTTGTTGTTTCTTTTCAAAAAAATGTGAGAAATTTTAATGAACGGGTTCAATAGAAGCGTCATAAGATTCTAACTTTTTTTATCCTTATCCTTCAACTTCAGTGTGATAACCTGAGATATGATTCGCGCAGTACATATTCCCAGTGGTGTAATGGGGAGTTATTTGAAGCAATGATAACAAAGTTACTTATGTGCTCCCTTATTCTTACGAGCATTCGTGGTAATGTCACAACGGCCTCTTTTTTTTGCATGGTAATACGTGTCTCATTCATACCATAAAGATTAAAGTACAAGTCACGTAAGGACCGACATGACAAAACTGAAAAGATAGCAGAACATCTCTGAGCTTGACACCAACGCCCATCACCTGCCTCCGGCACCACGACAGCAGCCACCGAAGAAAAGAATGATGGATCACCTCCTCATCCGAGTTCGACGCGACTCCATCGCTGATATGCAGCTTTGCGGACCTCCAAGGTGGCTCACCAAAAGTGAAGCCCTTACCATTGAACGAATCAGACCGAGGCAACACCCCGGACACGCCATGAACTCCAGATCTGGCACCCCACCGCAACTAAGACGTCGCGGAAGGAAACCATACCTGCCATCCACGAACCACGAACCCATCACATGTTCCGTCTTCCAGATATCGTCGATGCAGACCACAATCTGCATCCGCTCCTGGACTACCTCCCAAGCTTCGCGCCGACGCTGGAGCAAACGCCGTCGCAACGGCGGAGCCCGAGGACACAGGTCCACCACGAGGATGCCGCCGCCGCCACGCCATCCTTACTTGAACAGACTGGTTTCCAAATCCATCCCCAACCATAGATGTACATCGTTGATTGTTATGTAGTTTTCTTATTGAAATCTCTTAAAAGACTTATATTTAGGAAGGGAAGGAGTAATATTTATTTTTTGAGTGTTTGAGTAGAGTCTAATATTATATTGTACAGTATGTTTGTTGGTACGGTAACCATAGATGCTTGTCCGCCCTTGATATGCCAGCCAGCCTGCGCTGGGATAGATCTGAGCCGTTGGTTATCTGAAACCAGAAATGTGTCGTTTTCACTCTGTTGCGTCAGTCAGTTTCTCATCTCAGGCTGGCTTGAGTCTCCGTAGTGGACTGCTCCTCCTATTTGACACCGGCTGGCCCGAGGAGGCTCCAGAGAGCAGATCCACCCCGGCGACGGCGACGACGACGGCGAGGCACCATTCCGCCGGAGAAGACGTCCGCAGCAGATCTGACCACCATCTACAAGGTCTGACCACCATCCCCTTGCACCAAAGCCCTAGCTAGCTAGATCCATCTGTTCCTGTTTTTCCACTTCCTTTGATTGATGAAAAATGTTCATCTCTTACTTTTCCTCTATGCATCTTTCCGATCTGGGAGGTGCGGTTGGAAATTTTTGATTGATGCGTAGGCTAAAACTGGAGTAGATCCAGTGGATTCTGAAAACTAGCGTTGCTGTTGCAGTTTTGGATGGATAATTGACTTGGATTCAGTCTTGGATTAAATCCAGTGGGCGGTTTTCAGATAATCTGACAGTTTGAGGGCATCGAAAAGCGGCACATCTGCAGTTAGAGAGCTACTAGAACTGCACTCGGTGTTCCCATTTCCTGGTACCCTTTTGCTCTCAATGAATGTGCTTCAGAAAATACTAAAATCTAAGTTTAACACTTCAACTGAAGCGTGACATTTTCCATAACCAATTTTCTTCTTGTGCTGGCTGCTGTTAGCTTATTCTGAATCTTAACACGGCATGATGATTCACGAAAACATAATCAGGTCAAATTCGCTATTCGAATAAATTGCATAACAAGTTCGTTTGGTTGTCGGGCATAAATCATTTGAACAACTACCGTATATTTTATACATTCTTCTTATTCCTGGTGCATAAGCAGCATAGCAAGTTTCTTTTATATACTTGATCTCCAGAATATCATTTGCTTATTCCTGCTATTCGTCTAGTATTTCTTCACCAGCTTACAGTTCTAAGCTTTTTTTTCATATAGAAAAATGATTTTCTTGACTTGAAAAGTTTATTGATTGCAGATTTTGCCGTCAGCAGCACATCATGCAGAGCCCCAGCAAATTGTCTGATGTCTCCCTTGGCCCCATGCGTTCTCCAGACCCCAAGGTTGGGCTGACCTCCCGGATGGCTTGCTTCACTCTGTCGTTGCTCGGCTGGGCTCCTTCCGAGACCTTCTTGGCTTCGCAGCAACATGCCCCTCTTGGCGTGACGCCTTCTCCTCGTACCCATCCAAATCTATGCTCCGCACAAAATTGCCACCTCTCCTCATCCAGCCCCATGCTCGTGTACAAGGTCCTCTTCTTCCTGCTGCCAATGGTTGCCATCAGCTATACACATGTGTAGTTATCGATCCAGCCAACGAAAAGACCTCCCTTCGCTGCCAGATTCCTGTAGAAACTACGGAGAAGATGATATATATTGGCTCATCCTATGGTAATATGATCTACTTCTGCTACGGATATTGTCACATCGTCGATGTGTTCACTGGTGTGGAGGTTTCAACTCCACGTCTCCCATCCAGTGTCAAACGTGAGACATTCTACTTGAACGGCATTCTAACGTCCCCCCTTACATCACCCAACTCACATCTCCTTGTCAGTACCGAGTTCTCCCTGTTTGATTTTCTTGTTGGAAGTGACTCTTGGTCTGAAGTCCAGCTTCCTCATATGTTGGTAATAGACCAAATTGTGGAATTCAATGGGCAGGTCATTGTCTCAGACGGCTTCCAGAGGTTCTACACTCTGCAGTTGGCCCCTCGGCTTGGTCTACAAGAGATGACAACCAAGTCCCAGGATAGGAGTGAAGACTGGCGTGGTAAAACATGGCTGGTGGTTTGTGGTGGCATGCTTCTCATGGTCAATGTTTTTCCTTTTAATGAGGTCTACTGCCTTGACGTGTCGACCAAGCCAGCAACATGGATGGCAGTGGAGAAGCTAGACAATTGGGCACTCTTTCGAGGGGAGGAAGTTAAGAGCGCGCCACTCTCTTGCATGAGCTCGGAACTATTGGGATTGGGGAGCAACATCTTGTTGTATGCATGCCTTCTTGGCTCTAAGCCGTGGGATCTACACCATCTGTGTGGAGGTCCGGATCCCATGCATGACACACCGCCCGATGCAGGAGACGCGCCCGAACCGTGGGTATGGGATTCACCACTTCCTCGCGCGAGCCTAGAATCATGGTTGGTGGCTCCGGCGCTTCCTTGCACGAGCTTCTTGGAGTCACGGGAATGGGATTCGCCGGCGCTTCCTTGCGTGAGCCCGGAACCATGGTGGGCGGCTCCGGCGCTTCCTTGCACAAGCCCATACGGATGGGGAGGGTGGAATGACACCTCACGCTCCGACCCTTGGCATCTACTACGCAGACCGCTGCCGTTCTGGCTGTACCCGAGCATGTTCTACTCTGGTGGCCAGTGATCCGGCCTGACCACGTCTTGCCGCACAAGCAACTTCTTCTGAGATTTCCATCCGAGACGCAGCAGGGAGCGGAGACTGATTTCTGCTGCATCATATATGTATGTATGTAATAATAAAGGATGATACCTATATATGGCCTCTGCGTGTCACTAGAGACTGCATCAGATATCTATTGCAAGTTGATTAGATATGTGTCGTGCTATATATATACAGGCGAACAGCAGACTTGTTCTATCTGTTGCAAGTTGTGGTTGTGCCTTAACTGGTAGCAAGCTTGTAGTTAATTTGTATGTTCTTTGCAGAAATGAACTGCTATGACGTTTAATTATTGTGCAATTTGCAAGCTGGGCTGAAAAACTTTTGTTCTGATTTGTGGGGCAAGGTAAGTTGGTCAGGTTACAATTTCGAATCTCTTCTGAGGTGGTGCACCAACTTGTTCTGAGATTGGTTTTCGCTGTGTGGATAGGAAATTGATGTTCTTTGTGGCATTAGCGGTCTGGAAATTTGGTATGTAGGAGTGTTCCTTTGGCTTGTGTAGTTAGTTTGTTGAACTTGGTAAGTTTTAACGTTTGCAGTGGTTGCACAAACGTTAGCTTTGTGCCTCATCATCCCAGTGAATCATGCAACTAGCTAGAATTTGAGTGGATGTAAAAATAAATAAAATGAGGAGCATAACAGCTGAATTGAAAGTGTGGGAAACTTGTCTCAGATTTCGGTACAGTTGAATGCGCCACCAACTTTTTCTCGACTTCCATTGCATATAGAGAAGCATGTTGAATGCGCTGGGAACTTTTTCTCAACTTTCTACATACGGATAAATCTTAGACAACCTTTTCGAGACGGAGGGAGTATAAGATAGGATGATGGCCTTGCCTCGTCTATGGGCGACACCGGAGGCTTATTCGTCATGCCGCCACAACCGTCCTCCCCGCACCCCTCTTGTCTCGCCGTCGGAGCCCCCATATCCTCCCCAAACGTCTAGGCTAGCTGCCCGGTCACTACCTAGTCACTTTTTTCCCACCCAACTGGACACCTTAAACCGGTCTATATCTCCTGGCTGTTTCGTACCTACCATAACCAGCTCATATATGGGACAGATATGGGGGCGCTGTCCGGGAGGGGCAGCGGCCGAAGGGGTGGGAGAGGGTGACCGATTTTTCTCGACGCGAAGCGCGTGAATCATGCCGCGGAGAGTGGGGAGACGACGTCGTCACCCGTATTACGACGCCAAGTGATGGGGGGGGGGGCACGAGCTCCCACCCTTGTCCACCTGCAACCGCGCTAATGCGATGCATAGGGCGTCCAGTCGATGGGGTCTTCTTCGCCGCTGGCGCTGCCGAAGCTCGACATGACAGAGAGGGACGAGGAGAGGTGGGGAGGAGACGGAGAGGGGAGGGAAGGGAAGGAGATGGCGGTGGAGTATGGACTCTTTGAGAGTGTTTGACCGACTGTGTAGGGTTCGTCCGAGATGAGTTATATGTGGGGACGAGGTGCGCCGGTCAGTCGTGGCAGACGCATCCGGGCTGTCCCATATCCACCCAGATATGAGCTGGCTATGGAGTGTCGGTCAACTGGGACGTATAGATCAGGTTTGAGGGATTCGATTATGTCATGCTTTGGTGAGCTGTCATTGACGGAGCCGGGCGCTCAAACATTTGGGGGCTTCTAAATCACCATTGCTTATCACACATTCCATGTGGCTGGGGTAGTTAACTGTTATTGGGTAATCAATCAAGGTAGTACAGTACAATAATAAAGTTGGACGGTAAGACGGTAAACATTTAGATGCTTGTCCACCGTTGATCTATCCAGTTGGTGCTTGGACGAATCGAATCGGAGCCGTTGGTTATCTGAATCCCGGAGACCAGAGTGCACTCTGCTCCGTCAGCCGTCACTCACGTCAGTGTGCTTCTGCTTGAGTAGTGCTCACACCTCCCCACCCTCCCCTCCCAACCAATAAGAGAGCAGATCCTCTCCGTTCCCGGCGAGTCGGCGGCGACACCCCTGGAGAAGAGGACGTCCGCGACAGCCGGCGACCGCATCGGCATCGCCGTCTCCTTCCCCACCCGTGAGGCTCGCTCGCTCCACCTCCCGCCCCTGCGCCGAAACCCTAGCTGGTTCTTGGTTGGATGAATCGCTTCCGCTTCTTGGTTGGGTGTTTTAGTGAATTCTGGCGTAAGATACACTGTGCTTACCTAACATAGGACTAGATTTAGAGTAGATTGGGTGGACTAATCGAGATTTAGACTCAGCTAGCGCTGCGATTTGGGATACTCTGACCCGGATTCAGGTTTGGTTTGTCCCCAGTTTTGAGCGAATTCGAGCGCCCCCTCCCCTGCAATTGAATGGAATGGAATAAAGAAAGAAAATCGCACCTCAACAACATTTTAATGTCATCCGTTAGAGGGCTAGAGCAGCACTTGTCGATGTAAAGATGTACAGTTGCTGAATGTGTACAGATGTAGTATACTGCTAGCCGAAAGGCACCAGCATCGAAATGTTCTGAATGTACATATGTGCTTCACAAATAAGATAAAATAAAATGGAGGACACATATTTCCATAACCATGACGACCCACCGCAAATGTAATCCGATTAAACTGTTGTTTTTGGTCTATATGAAGTTCCTTTTGGTTGTTTATTTATCCGAAGAAGTATCGCGCGTTTATTTATCCATGCTTCTTATTCCTGGTAGCACATAGCAAGTTTCTTTGATACACAGGCATATATGTTTCACCTGCAGAATATCATCTCCTTACCCATGGTTCCGATTAACATGCTATCCGCCTTGTATTTCTTAATCTGCTTAGTAGTAGCTTACAATTCTTTTTATTGCTTGCAGAGTTTGCCATCAACAGCGCATCATGCAGAGACCCAGCAAACTGCCTGCCGTCTCTCTCCCTTGGCACCTTGCCTCTTTCGGACCCCAAGGTTGGGCTGACCTCCCAGATGGCTTGCTTCACTCCATCGTTGATCGGCTGGGCTCCTTCCGAGACCTTCTTGGCTTCGCCACCACATGCCCCTCGTGGCGTGCTGCCTTCTCCTCGTACCCATCAAAATCCACATTCCTCACAAAATTACCACCTCTCCTCATCCAGCCCCATATTCGTGCACAAGGTCCTCTTCTTCCTTGTACCAGTGGTTGTCGTGAGCTATACCCATGTAAGGTTGTTGATCCAGCCAACCGAAACGCCGCCCTTCGCTGTTGGATCCCTCAAGATGCCCTGGAGAAGATGACATTTATTGGATCCTCCTATGGTAAGCTCATCTACTACTGCAACGGATACTGTCGCATCATCGATGTGTTCACCGGCGACGAGGTGTCGACTCCACGTCTCCCATCCCGTGCTGGATGTTCAAAACTTCACTTGGCTGGCATTCTAACAGCCCCACTTGCATCACCCAACTCACATCTCCTTGTCAGTACCGAGTCCTTCCTGCTTGATCTGCGTGTTGGAAACGACTCTTGGTCCGAACTCCAGCTTCCTTGTCAGTTTGTAATAGACCATTTTGTGGAGTTGGATGGTCAGCTCATTGTCTCGAATAGCTATGGGAGATCCTACGCTCTGCAGCTGGCCCCTCAGCATGGCCTGCAGGAGATAAAAACCAAGCCTGTGGGAGGAAAGCCGGTGGTAGGAAGGCTGGTGGTTTGTGGTGATATACTTCTCATTCTCAGTTTTGGCGAGTTCCACCGCCTCGACATGTCAACTGAGCCCGCGACACGGGTGGCCGTGGAGAAGCTGGGCGAGCGGGCACTCTTTGTAGGGGCGGAAGCGAAGAGCTCGGCACTTTCTTGCATGAGCCCGGAGCTATGGGGAGGAAGGAGCGACATCGTGTACTTTGCTCGTACAGCTCGACCTTGGTTTCTCTATAGGCTGTGTGGCAGGCCAGATCGCTTGCAGGATAGACCAACACGACCAACACGCGTTGAACCCGCAGGCTTTGGAAGCACCCCAGTGCAGTCATCAGTTCGGCCGCTCTGGCTGTACCCAAGCATGTTCTACTCGGATGGCCAATGAATGAATGATCCGTGCCTGCCAGCCAACTACGTACAGTTTGCCGCAGCACCGGCTTCATCTGAGATTTCCCTTTGAGATCCAGGGAGTAGAGATTGGTTTTTGCTGCATGGGTGGAATATGTTACTACTTGTGGTACGGAGGAGTGCTCCCTCCGCTCCTGTATTTTGTTTGTTGAACTTGATAAGTTTTAACTTTTGTGGTGTTGGCACTAGCTTTACTAGAATAACTCAGTTATCCGGTTTTTACCAACCTGTGCTCCCTGTTTATTATTTTACTAGGTGTACTTGACCACTTATGCTTTTTTCTATGATGAAAGTAGCATATATATGTTCAGCGTCTCCCCTGTTTCAACGATGAAAATCTAACATTTCTGCTTGTACTTGAGCTTTTTGTGTATAAGGTTGTCATTGTTTGCTAAACTGCAGTGGAAGGATGATACACCAGATGGACTAGTTGGTGTAAATCTTAGTTTAAAAAAATAAGTCCCCATTTGATACAGCAGTATAGTTCTGCGCCTCATCTCAGTGAAGATATAAATTCCCTGATGATCTGATGCAGTGAAATTCTGCAGTTTAGTTATGATATAAATTTTCAGTTTAGCTACAGATCTGGCCACTGCAGTCATCCTAGTGAATTACATTATGCAACTGGCTAGAATGATCTGATGCAGTGAAAAATTGAGAAGTACTGTATATATGCCAACAACTGAATGTGTCAGAATCTGTCTCAATTTTCGTTGCATCTAGCTAGCTATCTGCCATGCCAAAAGGAAAATACATAAACTGCGATTGTTTGTTGCCTCGATGTCTCGCTTCCCTTTTTGTCCAGAGTTTTTCTGGTTTCTCATCCCTGCGGTGTATGTAAACTGCAAGCTGGTTTATTTCTTTCTCGCGCGTCTGGTTTATGGGTTTGGTTAGGTCTAGGCTGTGGTATCGTTTAAATCCTGTAACTGCAAGCTGGACTGGAAAACGGCTGTTTTGAATTGTGAAGCAATGGAAGTTAGTCAGGTCACACTTTATCCATAGTAGTATGTATATTTACCTCTGCTAATGTTTACAGGAAAATGTATGCCGCAGGCTTGTGACCTAGCTTTGTGGCGAAGGTTCTTGCCGCTGCTAGTTGGAACAAATATGTTGTTTTTTCAGGTGTTGTATGTGTGTATGTCCTTTTATAGGTGTTGAACCGAATGCGTTGTGTTGAGTTTTATTGCACCTTGAGAAGTATTCCTCTGTCCCAAATTATAAGACGTTTCTGATAGGTGCTGAACCGAACACAATGCCGCGATTTCGAACGGGTAATACGTTCCTTTTTGGTATCGGTATGTGGATGCCTTTGCGGTATGTGGATGCCTTTGCATTTCAACACGGAGGAGATCAACGTCAGAACCGAGTAATTGAGATGGCGGCACATCATATTCAATCATTCTAAATTTAACGTAAAAATAGTCAGTTAAGTGAGCATGATGTGTGTTATACATACTCTACAGTGAAGCCTTGAACTACATTAACATGTGAAATCACACTACAGACTGCAAAATTTTCTTGAGCATCCTCTAGGGGGCGTTTCCTGATTAGTGCTTTAGGCGCTGGCTATAGGCCATTGGGCAAACCCTTAGGGGGCGTTTCCTATTTAGCGCTTCAGGCGCTGGCTATAGGCCATAGGGCAAACTGGCGCACACCCCTCCCCCCTGCATGTCCAGCCCATTGATATTTTTCTATTTTTTCTGTTTACTTACTTACTTACGAAACCTTTTATCCCAAACAAGTTGGGGTAGGCTAGATATGAAACCCTTTCACGAGGACTTCCCAGGAGGTCACCCATCCTAGTACTACTCTCGCCCAAATGGGTTTCATACCCAAAAGACTGGCTAGTTTTTACGTTGGCTCGCCAAGCCTATCACAACAAAATATGCGAGAGCGGTATGTTGACCTAAAGACCTCCTAGTTCTGTTTGTATAGCACAAACCAACCAAGACAACCCCAACAAGTGTGATTTCATCAAATACAACTGCAATGGAGAGCCTCAGTCCTCTATTTTCTGTATATGTTGCATCTTTTTTATTGCGTCAACGTTGTGCTTGTCATATAATTAATCTTATTGCTAAATGTGCTATGAATAGATGCGAGAAAGATGTTGAGATTTTGCTCACTGCAATTTCTTTTCTTGGTAACTCTACTCAGCCTCCCGAGCAGCAAGTTCAGCATGATCTTTTGCAGCTTCAGTTAGCAAATGTGCAGTCTGTCCAGCCTCAGGATCTCCTTGGACAGCCTTTTTTTTGAAGGCAACAGGCAAACGGGACGCCGTGCCAGCCCTTGTAGCGAGGGGCGTGCTTGGGCGAGAGAGGCCAGCACGGGTGTCCGCTCAGCACGACCTGTATACCTAGTATGCCTTCTCGAGTCATGCCGAACCTGACCCGTTTAATCCACGTCGGGCCGACTCATTTGGCCAGGTTTGCTCACGGTGAATAAACTTTTTACACTAAACTTTTATTCTTATTTAATATTATTTCATTATACTAATATATTAAGGAGTATAATTTTTATTATTTAGTTGGTATAGTTAATCGCATAATTTAGGTGGTATAGTTAACCAGCTCTCTTTGTTATCATTTGAAAGTTTTTTTTCTAAATTTAAATTAACTGATGCAATAGAATTTGTTTTTGAATTGTTTGTCGTGATTCACAAATTATAGAGTGGACATGTACATATTTGTATATAAGTGCATATGTTTATGTGTAAGTTAACTTTATCAAATAGTATGATGTTAGAGATTTCTAAAGAACGATGTCCAACTGATATTTTAATAGCGATTTCAAGATCAATGTTAGGTGTCCATATTTATAGGTATCTGTAGAGTATAAATTGTACTGTTTGCGAATGTGTCACAAGATATTATTATAATTTAGTTTGTGGGGCCCTCCTCCTTACACCTAAACGCAACACAAAGGCCTCTACAAGTGGATACACATCGCAGGAGGCTTAGGAACACAAAGGCCTCTACAAGCAGATACGCATCATAGGAGGCTTAGGGCATCTGCAACACCAGCCCCTAATCTGCATGCATCAATCCGGACCGAGCGGTCTGGACCCATTTTGTCTTCCAATGCGGTACACCAACGGTTCGCGAATCGTTCCAGACGTCCGATTTCCCGCAACTCAGGGGCCTTTTGTGGGTGTCTAGACCGCTGCCATGCACACAACAGACACCCGAACCCACCCAAAAACCTCTCCCGCGCCGCGCCCTCTCCTTCAGCCCCGCTCTTACATTATTGAAGGTATTGTCTTCTAGCTGATGTGGTGATCTTCATAGGGTGAAAATCCTTCTTCTTCCGTCTCCGGCTGGACATGATGATGGCGATAATGAGGGCGTACCTTTTTGAAGGCGTTGTTGCCGAAGAAGTCGACTTAGTTGTAGGTGCTAAATTTACATCTTTGAATAGGTCTGTCATAATTGTCTAAGTCTTTTACTCTCTTTGTTGATGTCTTTAACCTTGCGACCTTACAGGTACTTTAATAAATGTGCTTGTGGGCATCTCAATGATGCAGAAGCCGAGGTCTAACCTCCTTTAGAAAAAAAACATTCTCATTTTCTTTCCGGAGGTGAGTGAATATTTGTCGTAATGTAGTGAAAGAACGCCCTTCGCATCCTTGTGGGCCTCTGCAGCCCAACCCAGCTTCATAGGTAGCGATGAGTTGGACCCTATATTGACATGGCGAGCATACGGGGCCTTCCTTGCGGGGAGCTACTATTCAACGCTTTGAGCATCGGGAGGCCGAACCAACGCTCACGCACGCCTCCCGCATGGGGACGGCCCAACTGTGTGAGTAGTTCGCTCTCACAATCGCTTCCCACCATTCATTCACTCGGGTGACAGGTCAACTTGTTGACTGGTTTGACTTATGGGAAGAAAGGATCCACAAAAAAGTTGTATTTAAAAAGTCCGGTTCAAAATTCATGAAGCTATTTTTTTGAAAAAGTTCATAAAATGTGAAAAAAAATCATGGATCCCAAAAGAGTTCATTGATCTGCAAAAAGTTCACGAATATGTTTTTTTAAAAGATCATGGATTTTTTTAAAAACAAGGATGTAAAAAGTACATCCATTTTGAAAAAAATCATGAATTTGGAAATTTTTGCAGATTTTAATAAAAGTTCATGGATTTTTTTAAAAGTTTGTCAATTACTCCCTCCGTCCCAAAATAAGTGTCTCAAATTTGTACTAGCTCTAGTATAAATTTGTACTAAGCTCAAGACATTTATTTTGGGACGGAGGGAGTATGAAAATAAAGTTCATATATTTGAGGTGAAAAGTTCATAAATTTGAAGCAAGATGATGAAGTTTTTTTAAAAAGAAAATTTTCATGAATTTAAGGATTAATGAATTTGAGAAACATAACGAATTTGAAAAGGTAAAAAATCATGAAAAATTGGAAAAATAAAAAAAATAAAAATAAAAATATACAAACAATGGATAAAAATGAAAACATGAAACATAAAAAGATCAAGACTACTGTTACAGTGCTAAATGGCCGGCCTCTTTCTGGGGTGGGGCGAATACACCATTTGTAGGAATCGGCCTCCTTGCGAAGGAACTGGAGGACCAAATGGGAAAATATTTACGGGTACCGCTATTTCTCGCGTTCAGCGAGTCGCACGTTCAGCGAGCATATGGGCCGGCCAACATACGCAGGTAATCTACTGCTGTTCCCTGTTTCGTTTTTTTCACGTTTGTTCTTTTTTTTTGCTTTCTTTCTTACTTCTGTTTATACTTTAAAAATATTCTAAATACATATATTACAAAAACACACTCCCAAAAACACATTTTAAAATATGTTGAACAAGTTTGAAAAATATTGAATAAGTATTAAAAATGTTGAACACGTATTTGAAAAATATTGAATAAGTACTAAAAATGTTGAACGGGTACATGAAACATGTTGTAAAAGTATTTAAAAATGTTAAACATTTATTTGGAAAATGTTGAAAAAGTACTTGAAAAA